CCTGCCCAGTCGTTCTAAAATGACAGGGCACAGGTAGAGCATGGGGCCCCTCCTCTCCAGCACTGTCTGGGCCTCACACCTTCTCCCCACCCTGTCATAGTTGAGTCTGAGCCAGAGGACCATAGAGGGTCATGCACCCCTGCCAGGCCGTGCGCAGTGTGGACGTGGATGGCAACTCCCAGTTTCCCAGCAGGCAGCCGCAGAGGCCTCCTTTCCTCTTGCCTAATAACTTTTCCCCACCCCTGATGGAAGGCAACTTGCAACTCCTTCCAAACTGAGGGACTGAGCTCAGCTGACATTTCAAGAGACTCAGGTTTCAGGCATTTGCTCCCTTCAGCCTGGCCAGCTCCAGAAGGGTGGAGACAAAGCGGGAATGTTCAGACCCTGAGGAGATCAGGAGGGGGCTGTTAGGGGGACAGTTAGCACCTGGCACTTGGCCAGGGTCCTGCAGCGAGGTCCCCCAACAAGTTAACCACGCGCCCTCGTGCCTGTTGCTCAAGCTCCTGCAAAGGCACCAGAATGCCCTAGGTCAAGTCACTGCTGAGCACCTGGAGCCCAGGGCCTGGCCAAGGGACATAGCCGGGGCAGGGAGGGCTGGAGAACCCCCATGGAGCTACAGGAAGAGGTATAAGGAGAGGGGGAGCTGTGCCTAAGGTCTTCTGGTCTGTTCACCTTGGCCTGATTTTCTGTCTGCCCTCTTCTTCCATCCTCCATATTCAGCCGCCTGAATTTCCCCATCCTCTATCTCTCATCTCCCATCCCTCAGCCCCCAAAGCTTTCTTCTCAGGTGCATTTTGCATGAAAGCTTTCTAGGTTTAACCCTCCCAAAGGGTATGTCAAAGGAGAAGGTTAGCGGTCCATATCTGCACAGTGGTTGTGCTGGCCTCTGGCCACGTGTGGCTATGAGCACTTAGGATGTATCTGATGAAAGTGAGAAAAAGCTTGATTTATTTTATTTCAATCAATTTCAATTTAAAAGCTGATAATTGGTTCAGGTTTTGGAAAACTTTTAAGCATGTTTGGAGCAACTCGGGCATGTGAATCGGCTTTTCCCACTGTAATTTTGTCAAACCTAAACACAGATCAAATATTTTCAATGAAAATTTAGCATCCGAGTCGAGCTGTGCTGTTAATTTAAAATACACACTAGGTTTCAGAGACTTACTACAGAAAAAAGAATGAAACTATCTCATATCAAAATATTGATTACATGTTGAAGTTATAGTATTTTGGATCTACTGGGCTTTATAATATATTACTAAAATTGATGTCACTATTTTTTTCCTTTTTGGGGTGTGTGGCTACCATAACTTTAAATTTTCACCTGTCTCGCATTGTATCGTCTTATATTCTATCCGACTACGTGCTCTAGATTGTATATATAGCTGCATTTACATGAGGAGGTAATGGCCAACCTGAGGAAAGACTTGAGTCTCCCCTGCCAATCCGTGGCTCTTGCCACCACATGCCCCTGATCATCAACCCCGAAGAATCTTGAGTTCGGGGAATGGGGAGCAAGGGTATGAAAGGGGGGCAGATGATTTCTGTTGCTCACTCCAACCTCGCCCCCTGCCGCCCTCGCCCCCTGCCACCCTAGCCCCAGTGGGATGGGAGCCGGTGCAAAGGACTGAGAGTTGCACAGCCACCGTGGGGGTGCCTTGCTCCACCTCTCCTTACCTCTGAAGGATGTTAAAGGGGGCGAACTGAAAAATACCTGTGTTCTGACTGAAGAGACCATCGGAACCTGGACGGTTTATAATGTTTCTATTCTAAAGCTGGGCCCACTGTTTTATCACCTACTAGAGCAAAATTACCCTTGGACAGTTCATCTGTTTCCATCCTTGGGCAACTGCAGTGAAAACTGGAAGATTTCCTAAATAAACAAACAGTGATGGTGCCTGTTTGTAACCTCTACAGGATTGCCTCTTCCACCAAACCAGAATGTGAAATCTGGATTTAGATAAAAAATTGTATGGAAGATGATAGCATGTTTTGAAAAAAAAAAAATCCAAAATAGATAACAGGCAACCAAGAGAGGCTTCCAGCCTACTAAGTGCAATACCCAGTGAAGTAGAGAGACATAAGGCCCAGTCTTTATGTTCATGTCCTCTTAGTTAGGAATGCCTCCCTCTCTCCATCCTTCTGTTCAAATTTGACTTCTGCCTCCCTCTCTCCATCCTTCTGTTCAAATTTGACTTCTTCTTTGAGGCCCAGCTCAGATACCCCCTTCTCTCTGAGCCTTTCCCTGATTATTCCAGATTTCCCAGCTCTGTTCGCTAAGCAGCTATGTGACTCCAGGGCTGCACACTATGGGCCTTCGTCCTCAGTAAAATGATTAAGTACATCAGTGTATTTTCCTTTGGAGCCAGGTTCTAAGACATTATAGACAAGGGATATTACTTACTCTGATCAGTTACCTGTCACCATAGACCGGGGACTACAAAGTGCTTTGCCAACAGTAATGCTTGAACCTCACCTCCAAAAAAATCAGTCTGATGTGAAAAACATTTTATTTATAATTTCTCATATTTATAGTTTATGTCTTCATTACAATCATTCTTACAATAAATACAGAGTGCTAAACAGACCATCATCATAGTGGCCTATGGTCCATCCGAGGCACAGGGACAGAGGGGTGCTGCAGATCCTGGTGCTTCCCAGTGGTGCTCAGGAGGCCTTCAGAGAGTTTAGTGAAGGGGAAAAGAATTTAAGGTCTGAACTTAAAATGGGATTAATAGTCAATGCAGCAAAATCCTAGAATGTCTCTTAAGGAAACAGATAGAAGTTTTTACTATTTTTACCAGATGATCCTAAGGAAACAGAACAAAGAGACTCAAACTCTCCCATTAGTAAGAAACAAAGAAGCCAGGGCCTTCCCTGTCCTTTTCCCACATGGGCTTTGTTTTTGTGATCTCTACCGATAGTGCACCCAGCACAGCACCTGGGCCTTCGACGGGGTGCGAGTGAGGCAGAGGAACTTCACACGCCACAGTGCTGGTTTCCTTCAGTGGTGACGGGTGTTGGTGAAATGAGTGAGAACCTGAGGAAAGGCTTCCCAGTTTCCCAGCTTGGTCCCCAGGAGCCCCATAATGATTAGCAAGGAAGTTGACAGTGTCGATTCTTGGAGCCTTCTGCCTGCCTCCCTAGCTTTGCTTTATCTCAGCCACAGGGCAGGAGAAAATGCCACTGTTTTCATGGCCTAGTCAATCTCCCTTTTTATGAACAGCCGTTGTGCCAGCTACAATGATCTCGTTGTTTTCTTGCAAAATTTGCCCATAAAAGGTAGAGAGATAGTCCCGGGACTCTGGATTTATGTTCGTTTCTGATTGGCAACTTTGGGCCAAGGCCAAGGAAGCATCACCTAATTCACAATGCTCTGTCATGAGGCTTGCCCCTGCTCCCCTTTGATCAGCATCAGGCATGCTAATGGCAAGGTGAAGATGCCACCCCAGGCTCCGAGGCTGTCAAAGATCCTGTGCACACACACGTCTGAGTGTTCATTAGGTCTTCTGTAACTCTGTTTAGCAAACTAGCTACAAAGCCATGGGGCTTGCCACCACTACAAAAAGTCATGATGGTAGAGAAGGGAGAACACTGTTCTCAGAGTGAGAGGGAGGAGTAGAAGGGAAAAGATGTTATAAAGAAACCTGTGCTTCGATAGGACATTCCATGCTGTCAAAATGAGACCAGGAATCGAAAGTTCTCTGTGAACTGCAAGGTGCCGGCCATGAGAGGTTGGTGGTGGAGGCTCCTTCTCAGTCATGGAACTAACTGGTCTCCAAGGGACTCTTACATCTATTAAAGAGTTAAGTCTTCTCAGAAACTGTGGCTTGGGTAGAAGATCATGAAGCATCTTTGTAACATTCCGTTATTATTGGTCCCTACATACCATGATGCCCCCACCCTGCACAGATAACTTCCTGCTTTCATAGCTTGAAAATAGATTTTAACCAAGCCATGACTCAACATGCTCAAAGTCAGGGAAGTAGGTACATCCCAATTCTAGATTGGCAGTAGGGATACCACCGAAGTGGCCAAAATGAAATCTGGGCAAGAGAAAAAGCTCTTCAGTCATTTTGCTTCTGCGTATTTCCTCTAGATTCAAAAGCAGTTTGGGTCATCTCAGAACTCGTGTCTACTCTAGGAGAGAGAAAGTAACAACACTTTTCAAGGAATAGCCTAATTATTTATAAAGTCTGTGAAGTACAAAGCATAACTGCGCCGCTGACAGGAGGTTGGGCTTGGGCTTAATATTCTGTCCTTCTCACACTTAAGACTTGACAACTTCTGACTCCAGTTCTGACTCCAAAGTGAGTGCCTCCAGACCTTATGTGTCTTCTCATTCTGTTTCTCCCGGCCCATTCAGTGCGTTTGACCCAAAGCACAGGACTTTGGAAATGCCTCTACTGTGTTTCAAAGAATATCTTTTGTTTTCTTTTTGTCTCTGACACCTTGACCCTTCCTGTATCATTCTTCCTCCCAGGTGTAAGGTCAGACCAAAAGTTTTGTCATAGCAGAAAGAAATCAGAGGAAGAAAACAGTCCCTTCCCTGCGGAAAGAAACTGAGTCTCAAAAGCAAAATCTAAGCAGATAGTACACATTCTGGTCTGAAAGCTTGGACAAGAAGCAGAATTTCCAGGATCCTTGAAACCACACTCAAGTGAATCCCTGGATGAAAGTGGTTTCTGACCAAGCCAATCACAGCCCCCAGTGGGTGACTTGGTTTGTGGCCCCAGAATCCAGACAACCTCATGGTGTCAGACAGATGAAGCAACTCAGAGTTCCTGCCTCTTTGGCGAGTTCTTGCCATCCACAGATCATACTGGCAGTGGCCGTGGCATCAGGATGGCAGGGCACCCACCTAAAGGCCCCCCATGGGTCTGGGGCATTTGTGGGTTGAGCTTCAGAGAACCCTCAGGTATTTCAAATGTCTAGGGAGCCACAGTGTGTAGTGTCCAAAGCAAAGTCCTTCCTTGGATGTGCGTGGGAGTTCTGGGGCCTCAGGCATGGGCCTCAGTCTCCTTCTTGATGGCTGGTTTGTAAATGACTCCTTTGTTGTCACCCTTTTTGCTACTGGAACAAGAAGAACACACAAGTCTCAGTTAAAGAGAAGAGACAAGCAGAGAACAGCCTGACTCAGCTACAGAATGAGACGAATTTTAGGGGTCAGATTCTTCTTGTGGGGACCTTTCCCCTGTTCTGATGGTCTTGGGAGGAATGCCCCCAAAATAAAGTATTAACCAAAAAGGAACCTGTTGTTCATTTTCCAGTTGTTCTCTTACAACAGCTGATGATAGTAGACCGGCATTTTGAAGAAGGTCTCATTACCACCCCAACTTTAAACCTTTGATTCCATAACAGGATTCCTGGAAATTTTTTTTATACATTCTAGAAAAATAAATTGGTTTTAGAAAAACCAAACATGACAATAAAAACATGAGCAAAGGCCATTAATAGCTAATGGAAGTGATACATCAAATTTCCCTTCATTTTTCTTTTTGGATTCAGAGACAAAAAAAAAAAAAAACAGATGTAAAGATGTTAGAAAGAAGACAGCCTTGCTGCTTATGTTTAGGCAAATGGGACCTCCCCATCCCCAAATCAAGAGACTTGTCTTAAGGTGTTAGCCACGGCAGCAGGCTGGTGGACACACCTCCACCTCTGAGCATAATGATCCAGTGTCTCATGCAAAGGAGGCTGGGGGCCATGGTGTTTAGGAAACAGCACTCCTACAGTGCTGGGTACAGGTGCCGGGGGCTCTTCATTCTGCAGACTGCCTTCCCAAACAGATCAGTCCTCATGGACAAATAAGCTACCCGAATGCCATTTTGAACCAAAACCAGCTCACCTCTTCTTTCTTCTGAAAAGCCAAATGGACACTGCCAGGACAACACAGATGCCAAGAACGCCAGCCAGGACCACTGAAAGGATAATGCCTGGGGAAGAGGCGGTGAACATGCATTACACTCCCCCTTCCTTTGCGTCCGTCTCATCCCGTGGCACTTGGATGCGAAGTCAAGTGACAGCTGTGCAATCTGCCACAGAAGGATGCAATTTCCCCATTTCTGTTCTCAGGTTCTGGTCTTTGGCTTAGCAGAACTGGTTGGAGTACTTAGAGCCATTTTCAAACTGTAGTCATTCTCCAGCAAGCGTTCGCAAACTTGCACCAGGATCATCTGAAGAGCTTGTTTAAAATGTAGACTTTTTCGAGCCCAAGCATCACAGACTCATTCAGTCTAGAGCAGGGCCCAGGAATCTGCATTTTTACCAAACAGCTCTAGCTGATCCTGATGTACATGGTTCATGAACCATACCTGGGAGGAACCCTGGGCTACAGAATAAGAACTTACTCTGTCTTGGCTTGCTGGAGTTAAGGACCACTGGGAAGCCTCCATCGGCTTTGCTCCCAAGCTCCATTGCACAGTCCTAAGTAGTCCAAAACAACCAGGGGCCCACTGCCAAGATCACCTAGCCAGTCACCCAACCTCCACACTGGGCTTGGGCCTGTTCTTAGGCTGCGGCTTCCCAGCATGGCCAACAGAGGTCTTGGTTAGCCTCATTGAATGTACACATGCTGTAGAGTGATTAGGTCTTTCATTATGGAAGCATTTGATTGGCAGTTCATCTTTGAATCATAGAGTGATTTGAAGGTAGGACCCACAGAAAGGAGAGGGCCAGGAGCCAGAGTGACAGCACAGAGAAGCAGGGAGGATGGGCTTAGAAGACTCACAGGCCCAGATCATACCAAGAATCACAGCAGTCACCCAGCTGCAGCATGCAAGGCCGGCAGGCCACATACCCAGACTCAGTCCTGCGTACGTAAGGTCTTGCACTTCAAAGGGGAGAGGAAAAGGTTGAAAATTAACCAAGTCAAACCATGGTGGATTTGCCCAGTGTGTTGAGCGAAGCCCCACCTTTTGTCTGGTTGGAAGTACAGGGCTTATGCAGATTTTCTGGGTGCCCCATGGTATAGAGGGAATTGTGCACCTTGGGAATTCACACTGTGATCTCCCTCTCCAGTTCTCCTTTATCACAGCAGTCTCTTTGCTAGGGCCAGACTTCAGTTTTTAGTACAACATGGCTAAAGTGGAAGATGAGGAAGGGTAAGGATCAGAGTCTACTTGGGCAGGCTACTGTGTGCTTCTCGGATCCCTACCCCTCTTCATCGGTAAGGAATCGGCCAGGTTCTGGCAGGCTGGGGCTGGCAGGGCTTAGTTGGAGCCTTCGCTAGACTTCTGCCCTATCCCTATCCAGTCTTGTTGTCATGATGGTTCTGTTTTTGCTTTGGCCTCACTGGGCAAACTGGAGAAACCCCTCCTCCATACCCGCCTCCCTTCTCTGCTGTGTAGAACCCTGAGATTGTGGCTTCTCTCAGAGCACTATTATTGGGATGAGTTAGGAGTCCTCAGCGGGGCTGAAATAGTGCCCAGCTATCTGAGGTAAAATCCCATAGTCAGCTTCCTAGGCATCTCCCTGGGGGACGGTCATGGGTGAGCCCATCTTCTTGAGTAACACAGAGGAACCCAGTCATGAAGCCCCCCTGGGTTACCCCAGCATGCTTCTTCCAGGTTCTTAGAACTACTCACCATTCTCCCAGTTAGGTCCTCCATCTAAAGAAAGGCTCTGTTACAGATCCCCTCTTGTCTGGTGGTTTTCTGACCTAGTAGAAACTTCTAATGTATGTGCATATGTAGTATGGGTGCTTATTCCAGTTCATGTTGGAAGCCAGAGTTGTGCAGATAGTGGCCACCCAGCCTGGTACTCCGGAGAGCCTGTGCCCACAGAGCCCACTGTGATGACTCAGACCCTGGGAGAGCCCTGACCAGTTGTGAGACGCCAGCAGAGAGCCAGGGACTCACACTTGGGGCACATCACACCCTGGAGAACCAGACCAGAGACTGCAGGATGAGGTTTTGCTCACCCCCTTTTTCTGCTGTGTGGCCAGTTGATCCCCCTGGAGCCCTCAGCCCTGTGTCGTTTCCCTACTGTCCTCTTTCACAATCTCCTATGGAGAGTGCAGCCTCCCTCATCCGAGGCTGGCCGCTAGGAGTCTCTGGTCTGGTTTCCGCAGGTGGCCCCAGGCTGTTGTAAGGCTAAGCAGAGCGGCTGTGGAGAGGAGCTATCCACAAAGTACAGGGTGGCCTGTTCTCTTGGCTCATGCTGGCCACCATCAGCAGCCCCTGGCCTCCCAAGTGGCAGAGTGGCTTCCATGGCCTGATTCCCTGCCCCAGGTCTCTTCTTGTAACCTGAACACAAGGACAAGCGTGTGGCTTAGGGAGACACTTGGGATAGGAGTCTCCCCTGGGGAGAGCATCCGGTGTTTGTATAGCATATGCTCTGTTCTCTGCATAGCCCGTGGCCTCTGCACACTGTAATTTGGTATTTGGGGTGTTTTTTTTTTAAGGTACCTAGAGGCAACCCAGGCTTCTAAGATCTTAAAAACAACAACCAAAACCCTGCAACTAGTCGTGGTTTCTTTTCCAAGCCTTTTGATGAAATACACTTTTGTTCTTCGTTCCTAAAGCTCCAGATGCTGGTGGTACCAGCTAGTTTTCGCCACATAAGACCACTGGTAAGGGTGCCTGGGTGGCTCAGTCGTTAAGCGTCTGCCTTTGGCTCAGGTCATGATCCCAGGGTCCTGGGATCGAGCCCCACATCGGGCTCCCTGCTCTGCGGGAAGCCTGCTTCTCCCTCTCCCACTCCCACTGCTTGTTTTCCTGCTCTCACTATGTCTCTCTCTGTTGAAGAAATAAATAAAATCTTTAAAAAAAAAAAAAAAAGACCACTGGTAAGCCTAACCACTTAGCTAAGCCATCCAAACTGGACAGTTTCTAAGTCGTTTCTTTCACGGTCACCTCAAACATCTGGAGAGCCACACAGGCCCCCAGACAGCTGAGCAGCGCCACCTCAGGCTGGAGGAAGTGCCCCCAGGGAGCTCAGGGAGCAGAGCCAACTCTCCAGAAGCAAGGCCCCCAGGGATGGGACTTTTCCCAAGAGCCCATGGCCCAGGTTGGTGGCTCATCTGGAGGGAAATCTGGCTGCCCTTGGCTGAATTAGGCCCTATAAACAATGGCCTAATTTAATCCAGGCTCTAAGCAGGGCTCCTGGCTCCTAGATGACTACTTGTGAGGGCCTCAGTTGCCTCTTTGTGGAAATAATGAAATAAGCAAGCAGCCACAAAGACAAGGAAAGCCCCAGAGCCTGGGACAGATGCTTTTCAGCCAAGACTTTGATACACCAAAGACAAAGAACCTTGACTGAGCAAGTGAAGAGCATGAGCCACTATGGAAGATGAGTGGCAATGAGGGTGTCACCTCATCAGAATTCTCCCCCTAAAGAAGCCCAGGGCAGGACGATGTCGGGATGCTGCCCCCTGCGAGCTGAGATGGCACCAGCCATCAAGGAAGCAGGACTTCTCTGCAGAGAGCGATGCAGTCCACAGGGTTTGGGTCCCATTCTGCTAACTAACAGGAGAGGGAAAGGCAGGGAGACTTCGGGGGGCACAGGAATAGGCGTTGGGGCAGCTGAAGCAGTAGATCCCAGAGAGGGAAGCCAAAGCCTGCATCACAGCAGAGCCTCTGGGGTGTTGTAGAGAATAGGCAACACGGATGATGGAGGGAGGGACACAGCCAGGGACATTCATTTGCAGATTAAAAAAAGAAATGGTTTGTTTCTAATCAGCAAATAAGACAGGCAGTTCCCACTGAAGAACACTGAGAACGGGAGCGACAGAGAGAGGCTGACTGACAGCGATGGCCCACAAGAGCCAAGTATGAAAACACAGTGAAGGGGCTTGTGAGCTGGTTGGTAAGAGGGCACATGCCCCACAGACGTGGCAGAGCTATCTGCTCTCCATAAAGTGCTCCAGTACGGTTCAGGGTGAGCAAAGACAGGGCAGTCTGACACAGAGAAGGAAATCGCACAGATACAGAAGAACCTAACAGATCCCTGGAGAAGACAGGCAAGCCGCTTGCCCCAGGGTCCTCGCTACCTGTTCTCGCTAGCTCAGGAGCTGCACCCTCACTGCTCTCTTGCGGGACCCGGGGGTGCCGGTTAACTGCTTCTGAGGTCTTCTGAAGCCTCAGATGCACACACACAACAGCCCAGGGGAAGGGACAAACACCGCATTTACAGAGCTTGCAGCTTCTGGAACAATTCTAGCATTTTTTTTTTTTTTTAGGTCTATTGGCAATTCTACTTATTCAAACAGAAAATAATCCTTTTCCTTTCAAAATATTATTTTCAAATATGGACTGTTTTAGTAAGTGACACCTTACATAGTTACATGTATGGATGTACATATGTATACATCTTATGTATATGTTTATGCCTTTAGCAATCTCCAGTCTTATAAAAGAAACAAGAAGAGTTTTGGTTTAGCAGCGATTTGATAGTTTAAATACATAAAATCCCCTTTTGGATGATAAAAGCTCTTATTATTCTGCTTAATACAAGTAATAGGCTGAAGTAACTAAGATGCTGGCCCCGTCTTTGACGAGGCTTTGGTAAGAAAAGCAAGGAAGCTGCCCTCGGTGACCACAGAATAGAACTATCTTTGGAGAACATACTTAACTGGGGAGCTTTTCTTATTGGCACTAGGGAATCCCAAAAAGAAATAATTTCTACAAGTAAATCTGCCAAAGAGATACCACCAGATTACACGAGCGAGCTGGTTTGCGACAACCATGATAGGGACTGAGGGCTTTGCCTTCCAGATTGCAGGATTGCAGGCCCAGGACAGAAAGCCATGTTGCTCTGAGGGGCCTGAATTCTGGAGCAGTAGGCGTGGGTTATTGAGCTTAGTACTAGGGCTTAGTACTCTCAGCTCCCTTCCATGGCCAGTCTCAGGCTGTCTGTGCTGAAGGAATGGTAGGTGGTGGGACTGGGGCCTTTAATTCCTTTCAGGCCAGAGCAACAGAAAAAGCCTGACAACTTCCCAGGGCAACTCCCTCTCAGGACTTCAAAACTTGACAGCCTTGACAGATCTTTAATGTTTCTTAGACAAATGGATTGATTTGAATGCCGCTGGCAAATGGAAAACAAAGCAAAATAGGACTTGAAACTAGAATGTAACAACTGGCCAGGCTTATGTTCAAATCATTCTGCAGAGAAGACCCTGGGGAGGGGAGGGGCAGGGAGACGGGGTGGGTTACATTCTTTCAAACTCGCAGGGAGCACCAGGCACAGTGCCTGCCACAAGAGTAAGATCCCAATCGTCCCTGTCTTAGGGGGCTGGTAGCGCGTGTGGATAATCTAGACATGCTTATTCTCTTCTGTACGCAGTAAGTCATTACCCTGTGGTATGCTAAGAACCGTCACAGAGATGAATGAGTTGTTCCAGCTGCATTGAAGGAAATTCTAAGTCACCTTCAGGGGAACAGGGAAGATTTCTGGAATGATATGATTAGAACTGGGTCTTGAAAGAATTTTTCAAGTGGGAGAGGTGAGGGGCATCCCAGGCGCAGGGAATCGTGTGTGCACGGGTGAAAGCAGTACCATGCTAAGGGAGGCCCTACATGGTGTGGGTGAGTGCCGGGGTGGGGGGGTGCAGAGTGCTGGGAAGACACAGCTGGGGCCACCTCACCAAGGGTGGGCGTCCAGCGTGCTGACGTCCCCCCTGGTCTGCTCTGTGCCAGAGGCTTGCTCTTAGAAGCCAGAGAACATCCACACTGGGGTTTTCTGTTCCCCATAGTGCCTGACTTGGGGTGTGCTCTGGAAACACATGGCCCATTACATTGCACTAGATGAAGGGACTAGGGACTTCTTAGCACATCTGATGATTGCTCCCAACTATTCAGCCCCCACCCCCACCCCCGTATCCAGGGGAATTTG